ATCCATCAGTTGGAATTTTCTCAGTAAAACGTTGAAAAGCTCTTGTCCAGCAGCAAATGCCCCAAACTCTCTTTAGCAGTTATTTCCCCTGCCACATGGAACAGTCTCAGCTATTCCAGGTCCTGAGAGAAAAACTATTTTAACAGTAAGTGGTTTTCCTCAGTTCTTACTTGTGCCTGCTGGGGACTGAAAGGTCTCTCTCTGCCTGCAGTGTGAATTTATCTCTGGCAAATCCTGCATGGGGTGGCTGCTGGGAGGAGAGGCCGATGTGCCCCACCTCAGCACATCTGCATTCAGTGGGAGAAGCATCATGAGCCAGCCACTTCACAGGGCTGCATCTGGCTAAAAATAAAACTCCAATCTGGGATTTCTGCAGGGCTTAAGTGAGTTGCTGGGCAACCTCATTCATATCAGAGGAGCTGTTACACGGGCTCTGCTGGGAGCTGGGCTGGGCTCTGCTGGGCTGGGCTCTGCTGGGCTGGGCTCTGCTGGGCTGGGCTCAGCTGAACTGGGAGCTCTGGGCAGGGACACAGCATGGCCACTCTGAACTGGGAGCTGGCAGAGGGGGCTCAGAGGGTCACCAGGGCAATCACCAGAATTCAGAGCTGGCTGCAGCCCCTGGTGTCGAAGCAGACCTGACAGCTCCTGTTGCTGATGAATTGAAATGGGTTTTGTAGAAAAGGCAGAGTTATAATACTTTATGATAGGAGGCAGCCATGTGTATCACAGCATCACTTAATTTTATTCATCCATCTGTCTCCAAACTTCTCCCTTTCCTAATGTGTTTCTCTTCTCTTTATTGTTGTTTACACATTACCTTTGCTCTTTACCTCACGAGGCACATAAAGATAAAGTCTCACTTGGGCAGTTTTCTATTCTAGCTGACACACAACAGTGTGCATCATTGGTGAGTGAAGGCTCAGTACTTTGGTGACACTAAAAATGTGAGTCCTGTGACTATCAGCAAGTGCACAGCTTGCATGGCTGACAGTGCTTTATTATAGCATTTATATATAAATTTATATATTTATATATATTATAATGTTTGTCTTGAGCTGCATTGGAAAAGTTCTGCTAAAACCAATTTAAAATACAGAGGTCAAGTCACGTTAGCCACTAACCTAGAAATAAAATTTCCCCTTACTATTGTAATGTCAGAATTTATCATACTGTGGGTCCCTGTTTCTTCACATCTGTTAAATACTGTGAAAGGAACAGAGCAAAAATTCTGGATGTTTGCACTGCTGAGCTCATGCAACAGCCTCAATGCAACCAAAATCTTGTTATGAGTGCTGTGTCACCTTTAACCAATGGAGCAGCATGGAATCCTGGCCAGGTACCCTGGATGGTAACAAACCTTCCGTTTTGCTCTTACAGAAAAGATCTCCTGAGGTTTTTTTGCCCTCCACACAGAGGCTGAGGATAGATTGTGCAGTTTAGATTGCATTTTATTGTTGAGAATGTGCGAAACTCTGCAGCTTTGGATGTGGAGGTTGGAGCAGAATTCTGACAGAGTTAGGGCTCAGCCCTGAAGAGGAAAACCTGCCCAAATTAATTTATTCTTTTTCACCCTTGGGAGCTGGCCTGGAAAACAGGCCAACTTCATCCAGGCACGTGGGGCTGGGGGTTGTGTGTGAATTCTCTCCTGCAGCACTGCCAAAGCCCCTGCCCATCTCTGCACAAAGGGCTCGCTGAAGTTTGGCTCCAGAAGGGACTGGGTGTCAGGCTGGCCCAGGAGCCCAGCAAATCAACCTCAAACTGAGCCTGGCTCAGGTGGGGCTGCTGCTCTGCTAAGGGAAACAGAATCACATCACAAAATCCAGGTGTGCATTCCTGTGGAGGATTTGGTGTCCTGGTGGCGCTGGGCTCTGGCTTGTTTCCATCGGGGTACGAACGAGTCCGTGTGTTCATGTAAAGGACAACGGGCATTCTGCACATTTCCACAGGGAACCACTCCATGGTGCCTTCTCAGGGTGTTTCTGGTCACTGCTGCTTGTGTCAGGGGCTGGCAGCTCCCTGGAACAAAGGGCTGTGCTGGTGGTCAGCCTGATGGAGCTCCTCACTGAGAACAGCAGCACCTGGGTTTGGTTTCTGGAGCTGCTGGGTTTGGTTTTCAGAAGCTGCTGGGTTTGGTGTTTTCTGGAGCTGCTGGGTTTGGTTTTCTGGAGCTGCTGGGTTTGGTTTTCTGGAGCTGCTGGGTTTGGTTTTCTGGAGCTGCTCTCTGTGGAAGTGCATCACATCACAGACCCCTGGCCCTCAGATGGACCCAAGGAGGGCACAGTTAGTGAAGATCCAGGATGCAAAATGCACTGGGTGATGAATTGAATAGAGAAGCATCACAGATGAAAATGTTCCCTGTTCCTGCCATGAGATCAGAGCTGTTTCTGGTGCTCTCTATTTAGGTCAGCTGCTTTTGCCACTGGGAAGGTTGATGTTTTGATATGCTCTGGGAGTAATTCAGGTTCATGTATGTCCCATATGTTCTTGAGCATTCTGCGTGGAGAGAGCATTAAAGTCACATTTAAGAGCAAATGTTGTCTAAAAAAGAAAAAGGAAATGATGGTCTCATCAAGCTTTATGATGCCATCTGGGTTATATAAATGTGTGTGTCACAGCATTCCATGCAATGCAAGATCTTCAGAGGAGGAGATCCTGGCGAGAATATCCTGTAGAAATATTAAAAGATATCAGTGTTTCTGGAAGTAACAGCAGTAATTAGCTGTTTAATTAGTATAACAGTACTTAATTAGTACAACAGCAATTATCAGGAGGAGTTTGGTAGATTTGGTTCTTCCCAGTACTCAGAATCAAAACCTTGCTCCAAAGCTGATCTGCCAGAAGAGAAAGCAGAGAAATGATCAGAGCCATTGGTGTGTTCCCAAGCTTTGACCGATTTAGGTGGGCACTGGGACCCTGAATGAAAGATGTAAAAATCTGTGTAAAATACCTGCAGTTGTTCCTGTGTCTAATCCATCTCTTTCCAAAGTTCCTTCAGCCCCTCAGAGCTGCTGGTTCTGAGAGCCCATCCCTGGCAGCAGGCTCAGAGCAGAAGGGAGCCCTGCTCCCTTGCTCCCAGAAATATTCACAATATGGGGATTAGTGAGTTTTAGGAAAACTTCTTTCCAGAGGTGGTCAGTTGGTATGAGTTGTTCTGGAGACAGGGAAGTCTAAATTCTGACAAAAATAACCTTTTCTTGTAACTTGTTCCAATAACTGTATTTAATTAATCCTGAGGAAATGAGCTGGGAAAGGCAGACAAGAACAGGATTGCATCGTTGATCCTGATACCTCACAGTTCCCTTTGTCCTTCCCATTATTCCTCAACAATCCACACTGCCTGCCCAATATGCAATACAATATTAATTAATAGGAAGGGTGCAGGAGGTAAGAGATTCTGAAAATCCATTGTTTAATAGTTTGTTACAAAAACTGAGAGGAAGGGAAAAGAAAAATCCGTGCGCAGAAAAAAAATATATCCAGAGATTGACAATAATTGCATCAGTTCTTGTGGAAAACATGATTTGTTCCCTTTTCCTCTCTTTTTTTCTAGTGCAGTGCTCTCCAAAGAGCCCTTCTGCAGAGCTGAGTGCGAGGGCTGGCTGCAGCCTTTTAGACTGCTTGGGCCATGGCAGAATCTGCAAGTTAACAAACTGGAGGCAGAAGGCAATAAAAGGCTGAATCAGCTTTGGAAACATTGCATTAGGAAATGGCCAGCAGAGAGATCCATGCCCAAGATTGCTTAGTGCCCTTTGCTCTCACACAGAAAAAGAGAATACAGTAATTAAACTGGGAGGGAGAGGGGATTTGTCACTTCCCTGAGTGGGGTCAGGAGGAGGCAGGGGCTGCCCAAGGTAAATCCCAGCCCTGGGCTGCTCCCCTGCCCTGCCTGTGCTGCAGCCACAGAGGACAAGAGATGCTGCTCACCAGAAATGTCACTGCCTCCTTCCCTTCTGTCAACACTGCAGAAAAGTGGCACTAGTAGGTGAAAATAATATTTTATTTTTTTTTTTTACCCAAGTGTTTATTCCTGCTTGGTTTTTTCTTAGTGTAACAGATGCAAGTTTCTGATTTGATACAAGCTGTAATAATCTTGTTGTGCATCAATACAGATCTCAAACTCATAAAGAGATCAGGGCTAGGAAATCAAACTTTCAGCTGGTCTGAATTAAAGAAAGAACTTTTCCATGGCAGGCTAAAGTAATTCAATGTATTTTCCTGTTTTCTGTGTCTGTTTATGAAGTAATCACTATCACTGATGATTCACAAAATCCTGTATAAAAACACTTGATCCTACTGAACTGGTTAACATAGGACCACGTGAATTCAATCATAAAACAAATCTTATTTTATTAATATCTGATCCTTTGAATACCTTGTGTATAGAAATGTTTTGGGGGAGAGCAAGGGGTTTATTGCAGAAGAACACTTGCTTTTGAATTGCAGGTACACTGATTTCCAGCGTTAGCACAGGCTGATCATGTGTATTTGAGTTTATTCTGAAGGCAGTTTACACTTGAAAGAGTCCAGACAAAATGTAAATTTGAGTTTTATTTTATGTATATATATGTTAGATCTGTGCCTCTCTATAGAGCACACCCATCTCTGAGGCCCCTGAGATCCAGAGAATTCTGAAATGTTTTGATTGCCATTCATTCTGTGCATGATAGAGTGTATTTGTTTAAATCTACATGACTTATGCATAAGTGCAGTTTGGTTGCCAGACTCTAGTCCCTGCTGAGGGGAAATGTGTGAGGCACACACGGCTTCCTCACTGAACATTCCCTTTTCAGTTCTGAATTTATTTCCTCTGAACCTTTTCCTTTCTTCATTTGAACTTGCAGAAATATTTGTGCCAGGTGTGGGTTTGCCTCCATTCGTTGCAGTTTGGGCAATAACCCCATTTTATGTTTTCCAGGTAAAATCAGACTATGACCATCTTCGAGAAACCTTTCTCAGAGTGACCAAAGAACGAGATTTGGCTGTAAGGGGAAAACACCAGCTCCAAGCCAAGCTGGAGAACCTAGAGCAGGTCCTAAAGGTGTGTATAAACCTGAAACTCCATCAGTGCTGCTTCCACTGCTCGTCCATGATTCCTGATCCGGGGGTGCCCTGCAGACCTGATCAGCTCTGCTCAGATGTGTGCAATGATCAGATGAGAGCAGCAGGTCCTGACAGGGATCCCAGACCAGCAGAGACGTTCAGAGACCTCTGACACTTCATAGCAGTTGCACCTCCCTTGCACTGTACAGTTATTTATGTCCAAATGAGAGAGAGAGAATGAGAACACGAACAAACTGCTCTGATATTTTGCTTTAGAGAGCTGTGTCTGCCAGTCTAACTGGCTGCAAAATATTACTGCAGCCTTTACATTCTGTACCTCTCGCTGCTCTGCTTCAGAACTCCTTCAAAAATTTTCCTTAGCTGAAAGAAAAGATTCTCATGTGGATTCAGAGATCCTGGCTGCTCATGTCTGTGCCTTTCTGCCCCGAGCTGAGCCCTTGTGAGCTGGCAGAGCAGCTCCAGCAGGCTCCAAGCCCTGCAGCTCCTTTCTAGCACCGTGCCCAAGCAGGTGCAGCTCATGCTGGATCTCACGTGTGTCCTCATGTGCTCGGGAAAAACGGCTTGCAGCTTTCCAGCCATTGCAAAAAAGTTCTGAGAAATGTTGAGCCTGGTTTCCCTGTCTGAAAAGAAGTTCTGCTGCTCTTTTGAGAAATTCAGGATATATTGACAGAGCAGAAAAGGGGAGCTGCAGAAGTGCTGAATTAGCTGTCTTCTGAGGATGCTGGCAGTGGAGAAGGGCTCTGATTTCCTGATGTGTGCAGGCAGCGTTTGCATTCACCCCGGGAGAGCTGCTGCTCTCCCATCTGCCAGCACAGATGAGCCTTTTGATGCTGTGGGGATTAACTCTGCTCCTCAGCCAGCCCTGGGAGCAGGGACTGCTCTGTCCTCGGGGTCCTGGGGCTCTGGGGCTCTGTCCTGCTCTGTCCCTGGGGCTCTGTCCTTGGGACCCTGGGGCTCTGTCCTGCTCTGTCCTGCTCTGTCCTGCTCCCCTCTGCTCACCTGGAGCTGGCCCTGGGGCTCTGCAGCTGAGCCAGGCTGGCTGCCGAGTGTCCCTGGTGCCCTGGGGAAACAAGAACCATGTCAGGAGGCTCTCCAGGGCTCCTCCAGCAGCAGTTTGTGCTCCCAGCTCTCACTCCACAGTCTGAAGGAAATCTGCTGAGTGCAGGCTGTGTCCTGTTCCTTCTCTGCTGCCCAGCAGGGTTTTGGTGCCTTTGGTCTGACAGATCCACTGAGGAGATGACTTCTGCTCGCTCTCTTTGAGGGACGGAGCATTCCTGGACAATTGTGATGGTGTGGAGAGCCCCTGCTGTATTTCTTCTGTGCTCTTTTAATTGTGGGTTTGCCTCCTGATGTTGGAGCAGTGTGACTGGGAGCTGTGGAAGGGGTGCAGGAGAGAAGTGCCAATTGACACGTTGGGAAGTTCTAAGCTGCCTGACACTGAGGACAGCAGCAGCACAGACAGGATTGTCACTGTCACCTCCTGGCCAGGTCCTGGGGGATCCCAGCAGCTCAGAGCTCCCCAGGAGCCCCTCTGTGCCCTGTCCTGGCAGCTGAGTGCAGGGACAGCGGTGCTGGCACAGCTGCTTGGGGCAGATGTGGAGCAGGGGAGGGCAGAGATCCTCACTGCTTCCCCAAGAGCGTGGTGACAATGTGGTGACAATACTGACACTGCCAGGGTAACACAGCTCACCAAGTGGCCTTTTTAACCTCAAAATCTGCAAATTCCACCTCGTTAAATAGATGTTTTAGGAACCACAGGAATTGAAAGCTGGGGAAAATCACAGATCATGGATCGCAATCTGTTTCTTCATTACATTTTATAGATTCACTGTATGTTCACAGTACTGATTATTTATTGATCTTTTCAAAGGACTAGAAATGTTCTGTAGTAGCTTGTGTAAAATAGTAAGAGCTCAACAGTAACAAAATATGCTGTATCAGCTCTGATACTAAATTTCAACAGAGGGAAATGAGACTTCTTCTTCCTGATAATTTAAACCTTGAGGAAGACTAGTTGGTAAAATGGGTGATGTTCATCCAGGTGAGATAAGAATCAGAGCCATTCTTGTTGGTTGTTATAAAATGCTGAGAACAGACATTCCCTGTGAGCTTTTGTACAGTGTGCAGTGCAGAAATGTCTACAGACAAGCACCAAATCCTCACAAAACTCCTGGAAAACAAGCCAGAGCCATGGGTAAAAACTTACAAAGTGGGAAATCTTCTTGTTGTTGTTGATAATGAAACAAAAAATGAATAAATCCCAAGCAGAGGCCAAATGGAGAAATTTCTGCTCCTCTTGCAAACATGTCCAGGCTGAGATGCCAGCCTGCCTGGCTGTGCCTGTGTGCTGCAGGTAATAACAGCTCATTACAGCTAAGAAATGTGCCTGATAAAATTCTCTCTTGTAGACAATAAGAGATATTTTGGGCTGTTCTTGTCGATTTTCACCATGCATTTGTTTTCCCAGGTGCTGATTTCTAATGGGCTTGTGTGTAATAACTTGGTGCTGCAGATAAGGCAGAGTGCCTCTGCTCTCAGACTATTATGGGAATAGTATGTCATTTGGAAAATAAAAATCTTTAATACCACCTTCACCAGGGAAGAGATCAGAATCTAGAAAGAGATATTTCTTAACTCCCGTTTATTAAGAGGGTGTTTGAAAGTTGCAGTGATGCTGGGAGAGGAATATTAACCTGTAATGAAAAAGATTTCTATCTGCAAAGGGTGTCTTGACATGGTGCAGCTCGTGCTCTTCCCAGGAGCCTGTCTGGTATTGCTGTGGGTCTTCAGCATCAAATGCACTTCAGGAGGTGGCTGTGAGCCCTGTGCAGTCCCTTTTGTCCAAAGCACCTGTGTTGGTTCTGTTCTGTCTCGTTTTGTGCAGAGAACAGGCAGAGATCAGCCAGGGTAAGCTGTTTCTTTAGGGTCAGCGTTTGCAAAACAAATCTCAGCAGCCTGTCCTGGATAAAGGGGCACTTAGGGAATTGTCAGGGCAATTTTTTTCCAGGCTTTAGTTTTTCAGCACAGTGCTCCCTAGGAACAGAAATGGGGCTGGAATGGGTCCTGCTCTCCCGTGTGTCCCCAGGACCCGAGCCGTGGATCCCCCAGGGCTGGTGTCCAAACACCTCGGTTTGGCCGAACTCCTGCAGCTCCTGACCCCACTGCCTCCCCTCCTGCCTCCCAGGGGTGCCAGGGAGCTTTGTGTGCAGGGAACTCGTGCCTCCCTGGCTGTGGCAGCCCGTGGGGCTGAGCTGGGGCTGTTCAGAGCCCTGAGTGCCCCGTTCTCTCCTGGCACAGCACATGCGAGAGGCTGCGGAACGGCGGCAACAGCTGGAGCTGGAGCATGAGCAAGCCTTGGCTGTCCTCAACGCCAAACAGCAGGAGATCGAGCTGCTGCAGAAGGTACTGGGGCTGGGATGGGACTGGGATGGGACTGGGATGGGACTGGGATGGGACTGGGACAGGGATGGGACAGGGATATGACAGGACAGGGATGGGACTGGGATGGGACAGGGATGGGACAGGGATGGGACAGGGATAGGGATGGGACAGGACAGGGATAGGATAGGGATAGGGATGGGACTGGGATGGGACAGGGACAGGACTGGGACAGGAATGGAGCTCTGCAGAAGGCACCTGAGGACAGGGACAGGCAGGTGGGACCAGGAGCTGCAGGGACATGGTGGGATGGCTCTCCTGGCTGAAGGCATTCCCAGCCAGCTGCCAGGCTGCTCCCTGCCCTGGCTGCTTCCATGGCACTGCTGCTGCTGGAACAGGAGGGTGCTCTCTGTGTGAAAGGATTTATAAATGTTCCTGCCAGAGAACATGGATTAACCTGGCCCCACTGTACCTGAGTTTTTCTGTTTCCCAACAAGGGTAAGAGTGGCACAGTCTCGTGGATTCCCTTGGCATTTCCCTTGCTTCCCTCCATGTTTGGCTTGGTGATACTTGTGCATTTCTTAAATGTCACAAAGGAATCCGGCCTTAATTTCCTGACCATCAAAATACGAGGTTTCTACCATTTCTAGAGTGCTGTTAACATTCTCACTGACACATCAGGGTTTTCTTGGCCTCCTCTTCCAGACATGCAATTCTTGCTCCCTTTCTCCAGTAGATTAGATTAAAGGACCTTGTCAAGGTCCTGACACGCTGCAGGTATATTCCTTTTCAAGAATGTCATTTTGTGTGGCAAGGGTTTGGTGTCCAGCCAGCATCAGCCCAGCACAGAAACTGAACAGTTGCTTAAAAACCTCATTTCCAAGGTCATTCTCTAATTCACAAATCACTTTTAAGACTTTTTTTTCACGCTGCAATTTCTCAGTATTCATTGTAATACAAAAACCATGATGCTGAGTTTCAGTCTTGCCAGAGTCACTTAAAGCTGCAATTGTCTCAGTGCTAATGTTGATTTTTCCAATTGCTGGACTAGATTAAAACACAGAAATAATGCTGCTAATGGTAATTTGGTAGAGAATTGGAGGGACCTTCTCAGCAGAATAAAAGATGTATCTAATATAGTTGCTTGAAATAGAAAGCTGTAGTTGACCAAATGAAATCTTCCAGTTAATTTTCTTTTAGTCTTTCTCAATAAGCGTACTTAGGCACACTGCAAAATGCCATTTCTAGTTATATTCAGCTGTTATTATTAGAACTGCCTCATAAATTTTGGTCTTAAATTTCCTGGCAAAGAAAAGAAATCAAAGGAAGGAATCATTTCTTGCTAATTTTTATTACATTCTTCTAATAAATCCTCCTTTGGACTGGCAGCAGGAGACAAATCTGTGTTCTCCTCTCCCTGCAGCCCCTGTGCTGAGCTGATGTGACAGACATGTGCTGGCTTTGGTATTTCACCCCCTGCAACAAGCTCAGCAGATAAATATTTTAAATAAACCTGTTAGCTAAGGAACTGTAACACGCCACTGCCAGTTTAAACAGGATGTTCAAATGTGGTGCCTCCCAATGGACCCAGTACTTGGCTGTTAAATTCCTTTTTCCCTTTTTTTTTTATTGGAGTCACCTTCACTTGAAGAAGTATTTCCAAAGGGAAGTAGAAGGTGTGGGCAGTGACAGGATGGCATTTCACAGCACATCTGGGGATGTTGTAGAGCTGCTGCTGAACCCCCCAAATGTGCCCTTCAGAGCACAGCCAGTCACTGCTGCAGCCCCGTGCATTTGCTGTCACGTTTTGAATAGAAATAAAAGCTCATTTCTCTTTAATACATGCACAGACTGATCAGATTTTTCAGGCTAGAAGGAAGAACACAATATTGTCCATGGAGGTTTTGTGTTGATGGGGACTCAGATGATCTTTTCCCTTAAGAGAACCCTAATACCAGGCAGTTTGATGTTGAGGAGAGATAACTATGGATGCAGCTCCTGTCATCATTTATCCAGAGCCCAGGCTCTGGGGAGCTTTTATTAAACTTGTGATGGATGACTCAAGGCTTTCTACTACCTGCTGTCACGTGTTGGCTGGTGCTGCAGGGGCCAGCACGTCCTGCCCTGCTGGCAGGCAGAGTTACTGCTGAGTACA